TATTAGTCACTAAGGTTAGGTTCACATTTATGCAAGTGCAGTTGATGCATTTTTGCAGCACATTTTGAATTTTTTCATTAGTGTTTTTCATGTGTTTTAATGTGTTTTGCAGTTATTGTTTTGACTAATGGCAAGCTACACTATCTTGCCAAATGTTTTGGGATACCCTCCAAATCATTAGATTTCAGGTGTTACAATCACATCCATAGCCACAGGTGTACAAACTCAAGCATCTAGGAATGCAGACTGCTTCTACAAACATTTATGAAAGAATGGGTCGCTCTCAGGGGCTCAGTTAATTCAAGCGTGGCACCATGATAGGTTGCCACCTGTGCAATAAGTCCATCCGTGAAATTTCCTTGCTAAGAAATATTCCACGGTCAACTGTTAGTGGTATTATAACAAAGTGGAAGCAACTGGGAACAACAGCAACTTAGCCACAAAGTGGTAGGCCATGTAAAATGACAGAGCGTGGCCAGCGCATGAATAGAACTCGCCAACTGTCTGCAGGGTCAATAGCTAAGACCTCAAAACTTCCTGTGGCCTTCAGGTTAGCACAACAACAGTGTGTAGAGAGCTTCATGAAATGGGTTTCCATGGCCAAGCAGCTGCATCCAAACCTTACATCACCAAGTGCAATGCAAAGCGTCAGATGCAGTGGCGTAAAGCACATTGCCATTGGACACTAGAGCAGTGGAGACGTGTTCTCTGGAGTGGCGAATCATGCTTCTCTGTCTGGCAATCGGATGGATGTATCTGGGTTTGATAGTTGCCAGGAGAGCGGTACTTGTGTGACTGCATTGTGCCAAGTGTAAAGTTTGGTGGAAGGGGGATTATGGAGTAGGGATGTTTTTCAATGGTTGGGCTTGGCCCCTTAGTTTCAGTGAAGAAAAGTCTTAAGGCATCAGCATACCAAGACATTTTGGACAATTTCATGCTCCCAACTTTGTGGGAACATTTTGGGGATGGCCCCTTCCTGTTCCAACATGACTACACACCAGTGCACAAAGCAAGGTCCATAAAGACATGGATGAGTGACTTTGGGGTGAAGAAACTTGACTGGCCTGACCTCAACCCAATAGAACACATTTGGGATGTATTAGAGTGGACACTGCAAGCCAGGCCTTCTCATCCGACATCAGTGCTTGACCTCACAAATGCGTTTCTGGAAGAATGGTCAAACATTCCCATAGACACACTCCTAAACCTTGTGGACAGCCTTCCCAGAAGAGTTGAAGTTGCTATAGCTGCAAAGGGTGGGCCAACTCAATATTGAACCCTAAGATCAAAGACTGGGATGCCATTAAAGTTCATGGGCGTGTAAAGGCAGGCATCCCAATACTTTTGGCAATATAGTGTGTGTTGATGTTGCTAGGAGGAGGTGTCTGTTGTCATGCAAAAAAACACCGCAATAATGTACAGGCGTACCTTGGTTTATGAATTTATTGCGTACTGCGGGATGTTTCGTATTGTGAAAAATTTGTAAACCAAAATGAGGTTTCCCATAGGAATGCATTGAAGACCAATTAATCCATTCTGGAGGTCAGAAAAAGTAAAAAAAAAGTCTTTTATCTGTTCAAAACTCCTTATAAAGTGTACTTTAACTACTTGCCAACCGCAGATAGCCGAATGAAGGCTACACTGCGGCTGGCCAGTTCTGGGAGGGCGTCATATGACGTCCTCCCAGAACGCGCTCTCCTATGGACACAGCTGATCACGTGATGTGGTAAAAGGACAATCACAGCGGCCTTTTACCACGTGATCAGCCGTGTCCAATGGCACACTGATCACCGGGGAAATACAATTTCTCGGCTGCACTTTCCTTGCGCTGTCAGAGCTCGAGGAAAGTACTGCCGAGTTGTCAGAGCAGGGATCGGCACCGATCATTAGGGCACTGATGATCAGTGCCCTGATGATCGGTGCCCAGCAGTGCCACCCAGTAGTACGAAACACCTGTGCCCAGAAGTGCCACCTCCCTGTGTCCAGCAGTGCCACCCACCTGTGCCCACCAGTGCGACCCACCAGTGCAGCCCAGCAGTGCAGCCAGTTAGTGCCACCAGTCAGTGCCCAGCAGTGATGCCAGTCAGTGCCACCTATCAGTGCTGTCTATCAGTACCCATCATTAGTGCCGCCTATCAGTGCCACATATCAGTGCCGCCTATCCGTGACACCTCATTAGTGCTGCCTATCAGTGCCTCCTATCAGTGCCTTCAGTGCTGCCTATCAGTGCCCATCATTGCTGCCTATCAGTGCCAATCAGTGCTGCCTATCAGTGCCCATCAGTGCTGCCTCATCAACGCACATCAGTGAAGGAGAAAAATTACCTGTTTGAAAAATTTTATAATAAAAACAAAGAAATCTTTTTTTTTAAAAAATTTTTAATTTTTGTTTATAGCGCAAAAAGTAAAGTGCCCAGCGGTGATTAAATACCACCAAAAGAAAGCTCTATTTGTGAGAAAAAAATGCTAAAAATTTCATATGGGTACAATCTTATGACCGCGCAATTGTCATTCAAAGTGCAACAGTGCTGAAAGCTGAAAATTGGCCTGGTAAAGAAGGGGGTATAAGTGCCTGGTAGGCAAGTGGTTAAAGGCACAGTGACATGATCAAAAATGATTTTGTAAATGCATTGAAAACCAAGTAATCCACTCCGGAGGTAAAAAAAAGTCAAAAAAGTCTTATCTGTTCAAAACTCTTTATAAAGTCCACTTTAAAGGCATAAATACTGTACAGGGACATGATTCAAAAAAAAATTGTAAATGCATTGAAAACCAATTAATCCATTCGCATTGTGAAAAAAATTTATAAACCGAAGCATTATTTTCAATGGATTTTCATTCGTAAACTGAAAATTACATTATGCGTTCGTAAATCAAGGTACGCCTGTACATGCATTTCTGTTGCAATTCCAATGAAGTTTATGGAGCCAAAAAATGCATTGTGCTGCATGTAAGATGCGAACCTATCCTAAAACCTTATAGGTGTAAAGAGAGACTGATGAGTAAAAATATAAATGTTTTTGCAAATGTTTTCTGAAGGCTATATCACTTAGTCCTGGTTCACACTAGTGCGACTTCTGATGTGACTTGAATCGCACAGAACAACATAACCAGGAAATCTCATTTTTTTTAAATGGTATCCATACTAATCAATGCAACTCAACTTTGAAAAAGTTTCCTGAGCTACTTTGATGCAATTTACAGTGCAACCTGGCCCCATAGAATATGAAAAGTGGAACTAAAGTTGCATCAAAGATGCACAGCAAAGTCTCACTGTAAATTGCATCAACGTTTACTTGCAGTAGTATGAACCGAGCCTAAGATTGCAGTGACCTTAGTAAAATAATCATGCACAGTACAAAAGTTGCAAAAGTACAAATTGATACAAATATTTAAACTTTCTAGTTCTTTTAAAAAAAAAAAAAAAACAATACTTTGTTAATAACTGTATAACAGTAGCACCAATTAATAGCAAGACTGTTAGAAAAAACATTTTCTGGTATATTATAGAGTTAACTTTCTGTTCATTAACAATCTGTATACCAAAGTGCAGTCAGTTTCAACACCCCTCAATCTTTTTCAGGCATCTTGGTGTTATTCTTTTCTCAGCATGCAGTGAATTTGTTTCTCTTAACAGCTTCTACAGAGTGACATTGACATTCTCCCACAGAGACTATTTTTATTTGATTGGGAAATAACACTTTTTATTCAGTTAACAGGACCTCAGATACAACACGTTCCACTTCAATCCCATGAGACAAATATAAAGTGGGTTGTTTTTGTTAAGTGCTCAAACATTCCAAAAAAAAATTAAATTTTTTTATCCCCAAACCGCAAATACGATTTCCTCCTATATATGACTATTAATCAAAGATCACATGAGTTAGAGATCAGCAACAGTGGTATGGTAGATTTCCAAACTGCGAATACCAAATGGTACTCTGTGTGGTAACATAGAGAGCATCCATTGTATATTCATGAGGACATTATATCATGTGTGAATACTTCCCAACTGTGTTTGTGCTTGCTTTTCCACTAGCAGGAGAGTTACAAGACCACGGTTTTACTGAATGATCTACTGTCACTCTGAATAATAATGATAGCAGGTTCAGATTAGTAGTTAATGCTCAGAGAGGACTAACATAAACATGTCAAAGTCATTTTTCAACGGAAATGTATTGTTCCTGTATATGATTGGGAAGTTAAATGCATACATCAGTCACCATTTTCACAGTGTTTACACACTGCTCAAAGAAAAATAAAAGGAACACTTTTTAATCAGAGTATAGCATCAAGTCAGTTAAACTCCTGGGATATTGATCTGGTCAGTTAAGTAGCAGAGGGGGTTGTTAATCAGTTTCAGATGGTTTGGTGCTATTGAAATTAACAACAGGTGCACTAGATGAGCAACAATGAGACGACCCCTAAAACAAGAATAGTTTTACAGGCGAAGGCCACTGACATTTTTTTCCCTACTCATCTTTTCTGACTGTTTTTCACTAGTTTTGCATTTGGCTAGGGTCAGTATCACTACTGGTAGCATGAGGCGATACCTGGACTCTACAGAAGTTGCACAGGCAGTCCAACTCCTCCAGGATGACACATCAATACGTGTCATTTCCAGAAGGTTTGCTGTGTCTTCTAGAGCATAGAAGAGATTCCAGGAGACAGGCAGTTACTCTAGAAGAGGTGGACAGGGCCGTAGAAGGTCCTTAACCCATCAACAGGACAGGTATCTGCTCCTTTGTGCAAGGAGGAACAGGATGAGCGCTGCCACAGCCCTACAAAATTACCTCCAGCAGGACACTGGTGTGAATGTCTTTGATCAAACAATCAGATACAGACTTCATGAGGGTGGCCCGAGGGCCTGACATCCTCTAGTAGGCCCTGTGCTCACTGCCTGGCACCATAGAGCTCAATTGGCATTTGTCATTGAACACCAGAATTGACAGGTCCACCACTGGCACCCTGTGCTTTTCACAGATGAGAGCATTTTCACCCTGAGCACATGTGACAGATGTGAAAGGGTCTGGAGAAGCCGTGGAGAACATTATGCTACCTGTAATATCATTCAGCATGACTGTTTTGGTGGTGGGTCAGTGATGGTCTGGGGCAGGGGCGAACTAACAACTCATGGGGCCCCTGGGCATTAGGGGATCATGGGGCCCCTATGTCCTCGCACACACCCAAAAAAGCCTATGGAAAAGCCAATGAAAGTTACCAGGGGCATCTCATGGGGCCCCCTACTGCCCCCGGGCCCTCGGGCAGTGCCCAAGTGCTCGAATGGTCAGCCCACCCCTGCTCTGGGGAGACATATCCATGGAGGGACACACAGACCTCTATAGGCTAGAAAATGGCACCCTGACTGTCATTAGATGAAATCCTTGGACCCATTGTCAAACCCTACACTGGTGCAGTGGGTCCTGGGTTCCTCTTGTTGCACGACAATGCCTGGTCTCATGTAGCAAGAGTATGCAGGCAGTTCCTGGAGGATGAAGGAATTGATACCATCGAATGGCCCCCACGCTTGCCTGACCTAAATCCAATAGAACACCTCTGGGATATCATGTTTGGGTCCATCCTATGCAGCCAGGTTGCACCTCAGACTGATCCAGATCTGAGAAGAGATACCCCAGGACACCATCTGTCATCTCATTAGGAGCATGCCCCAACATTGTCAGGCATGCATAGAAAGCACGTAGGGCCACATAAACTACTGAGTACCATTTTGAGTTGCTGCAATTAAATTTCAGCAAAATGGACTAGCCTGCTGCATTATTTTTTTCACTTTGCTTTTCGGGGTGTCTTTGAATTCAGTCCTCTGTTGGTTGATAATTTTCATTTCCATCAAAGGTGCATCCTTATGTTCTTAACACATTACCCAGTCCATATCAGTATACGGTAGATATCTAGCATGATATTTTTCCTAATTGAGATCTGATGTGTTTTCAAAGTGTTCCTTTCATTTTTTTGAGCAGTATATACCCTTACATATATCCAGTGAAGCTATCGACCTCAGACATAGACATAGATAAATTGAAGCCTCCTACATATGTTGTACCTGTTTATAGCTCTGTCCCCTGCATCTTTTCAAAGTGCAGAATTTACACAGGATTGCTCAGCACTGAAAAGAAGGGGGCGGGGAGCTGAAGCAATGCTCAGTGAGGAGAGCTCTGGAAGCTGATTAGAGGGAAGAGACAAGCTCCCCCTTCACACAACACACAGAAACTGAGTTGAGGCGGTCAGTCACAGGCTGTGCCCTCACTTGTCACCATTTTTCTCTCACTGTCAGGAATACTCATCAGAAGTGACTCATACTGATAGCAAAGAAACAAAGCAGTGGGCAGAAATGACACTTAGTGCTCTGGATTGAGACAAGTACACACTGTAGAGGGATATGCTTTATTCATATTTCATGTCTGAGGTCTACAAGCATTTTACATTTTAGGTCAATTTTAACCCCTTCTAGCTTCCACCTCCTGGCCCCTTAAGAGGTTCAAAATGCTGGGAGGCCAATTGCCAGTCACAGCAGTCATGTGATCAGAAAGCTTTCAATTGCAAGTATGCATCAGGAGCCTTTCCAGTCCCCGCCCCAGTAACTGTGCTGGGGGCGTGCAGGGCAAGCACTCTCAGCACAGAAAACTGTCTACACTTAGGTGTCAGAGTTAAGGCCCACCTGCTGACAGGCCACATATATGCCTACCTCCAGCAGAAAGTGGTTAAAGAGGGCATTACAAATGCATAGGGACTGTATATTTATAAAGTCAACTAAAGGATTACATTTCAGCTGCCCTCCAGAAATCAGAATTCTGCAATTATGTGCAATCATAGAAGAATCTGTTTATTTGAAAAACAAATCCTGAGCCAGTTCTCTAAATAACCCCTTTTTACCTCCTCAGTATCAGCATGTTACTTCTTCCTTTCCAGGCCATTTTTCTGTGCCGTAATAGTCGACTTTTCTCCACACCCGCTGTCATAATTTAAAATGAGCATGGCCACGTCATTCATTCAGAGTTTTGTGAATGAGTGAACTACAACTACAGTCTGCCATTGTGGCAGATGGCATGTAGTTCTCAGTGGTGAAAGATGTCATAGTTCATTGATCTTCCGGCTCTCCAATACCTGTCTGCCCATATCGGAGGTACAGGCAGGCAGTTATACTGAGATTCTGCAGGAGCCTGACATTGCACCTGTGATCTGCTGATTGTGGGTGCAAAGCTTTGCAGGCTCCAGAAAAAAAAACAAATTTTTATACCTACAAAAATGTGTGCATTTATTATTATTTTTTAAAGGTGAACTTAGAATTTAATTTGTTAGTCAAGTCCATATAAATTACAACTAACACTGCCCTTTCCCCAGATAGATTGACAACACTGCTGTCCAAAGGGTTCTCTGTTGCTGCTCCACCCAGAGTGGAGACACCCTAATGCAGGCCATAGATGGGGAGAAAAAACGGCAGATTTTTCTTTTAAAAAAACGAAAATTCGGTCGTTCAAGCGGCCGACGTTACCATCAATGGTAAAAAAATCGGCCGATTTTCATCCCTTCTACAGCTGGCAAAAAGTGTCCCTGCAGAGAGCTCCGCTATTTCTGACAGTTCTCTGACAGTTCCTTCACATTTACAGCGGTTGAAACATTGTATCTATTTGTTTCCATTTAGGATACAGATGTTTTTATTCGGAAACAAATAGATACAATGTTTCAACCGCTGTAAATGTCAAAGAACTGTCAGAGAACTGTCAGAAATAGCGGAGTTCTCTGCAGAGATACTTTTTGCTGGACTGGAATTCTTCTTATTTTCATCCTACTTCTTCTTCTTCTTCTTCTTCTTCATCCTCATCCTCATCCTCTTCTTCTTCATCATCCTCATCCTCTTCTTCTTCTTCTTCTTCTTCATCCTCATCCTCTTCTTCTTCTTCATCCTCTTCTTCTTCTTCATCCTCATCCCTTCTTCTTCTTCTTCTTCTTTATCTTCTTCTTCATCCTCATCCCCTTCTTCTTCTTCTTCATCTTCTTCTTCTTCATCCTCATCCTCTTCTTCTTCTTCTTCTTCTTCTTCTTCTTCTTCTTCATCCTCATCCTCTTCTTCTTCTTCCTCATCCTCTTCTTCATCCTCATCCTCATCTTCTTCTTCTTCCTCATCCTCTTCTTCTTCTTCTTCTTCTTCTTCCTCATCCTCTTCTTCATCCTCATCTTCTTCATCCTCTTCTTCTTCTTCTTCCTCATCCTCTTCTTCATCCTCATCTTCTTCTTCCTCTTCTTCATCCTCTTTTTCATCCTCTTCTTCATCCTCTTCCTCTTCTTCTTTTTCTTCTTTTTGTCTTCCTCTTGCAGGTCACTGCTCATGCGCAGATTTTTTATCGGTAAAAAAATCGGCCGATTGGCCCATTAATGCCGCGAAAATCGGCCGATCGGCCGATTTTTTTCCAACTTTACCAAAAAAAAAAACAGCCAAAATCCCGAAAAAACGGCCGACCAAATCGCCCACTAACGATCTGAAAATCGGCCAATTTTATTTTCGGCCGACAAATCGGCCGATTTTCGACCCATCTATGGCCTGCATAAGACAGGACATGAGTAATTGGCCAGATCACCAGGAGAAAATAATAAAATAAAACCTAAAAAATAACTAATGCAACCATCACATTTAAGTATTGTTAATCTGCAATATATTACAGTTTTTGAGTTTTGTGTTTAACACTACTATAAGTGTCTGAAACAAGAATTGTTTGTGTTGCCATGTCAATCAGTCATAACCAGACCTTTCATAAAAAAACAGTTGAGATTTGATCTGAGATTTTGATAGCTTGAACCAAGTTAGTTACTATGAAGCAAATTATTATGATACATTTTGATACATGGTTCATAGAGGGTTCCAGTGCCTGCCCCTCAAATTAATATAAGGAAGCAGTGATATCTTTAACTGCAGATTTTAACCCCTTTCTGCAGCCGCCCTTTAAGCGAATCTAAATGCTGGGAGGTGGAGGCGGACGTTCCCATACTGTGACCTCTGTGATTGGTTGTCACAGCAGTCACATGATTGAAAGATTCCACTCACAAGTATGTATCAGGAGCTTCCTGTGAAACCTTTTTAGTTACTGTGCTGGGAGCGTGTAGTGAGCATGCTCTCAGCAGAGTAAACAACTTACCTCTGGACACATATAGGGGGCCCCTTGGCATTAAAGCCCACCTGCCAAGAGGGTGTGTATATGCGACCAGCCGGTGGGAAGTGGTTAAATATTCCAACCTAATAAACAGCTGTAGATATATGCGTATAAAGAGAATTTGTACCCGTAGAACAGATGTTTATGAAAGTGACACAACTGTTCTGCAATTAATTTTCCATTAGGGAATAAGTTTGTAAGATGTAAAACTTGTTTTAACTTTTTTAGACTCTGCAGCTCTGTTTCCTAGTGTTTCTTGTTAATAATAATTATTTTTTAATAGAATGCATCTGGCGCTAATGCGATGAGGTGAACTGAGATCCTTAATGCTATTTTACTTATTTGCTTTTTATCAATGGCCTTTATATGGCCCTAAACATTTTGCAATAATTGGAGCGCAACAGCATGAGCTAATGGCTGAACCAAGATTCAGAGGTTACATTCTAAAACACTCAACTTGTTTTGCATCTGCATGATTGAATTGCACAGAGTAATAATTTGGTGCCTGCTGGCAGCATCTGAAAATATTTTGAAGGGTCTTTGTTAAAGTGAACATTTCTTAAATGAACATTCTCTTATATGTTACAATCTACAAAAGAAATAATCTTGACCATGGTGAAACCTGTAATTGCATTGTTTGGGAAGAGGAACTGTTTTAAAAGTCAAAGTTTTATAATCCATCTTTCTGGATATAATGATTATCTCTGCATGATACATGCACATGAACCACCGTATGTTTTCCTTGCTCCCTTGTGAGCAGAAAAGGTTTCTTTATGACTTTCTGTGTATTTTTAAATAGACACTATTGGCAATATCAGGAGCAGTCTTTGTATCACGTGTAAAGAAATCACAAAAAATATCAGAGGTGTCAGTTTAGGGCCTTGTTTATACGTGTGCAACTTCCTAGCAAACCTCTGAAAAGTGATCAACAGTGGCTTACTTTTCAGAGACAGTTGACAGGCAGCTCAGAGGAATATGTCGCCTCCTGAATGCCTTCATTATTATTATTGTTATTTTACAGGATTTATATAGCGCCAACAGTTTGCGCAGCACTTTACAATATAAGGATATACAATATATTATTTATTAGTTTATAATACCTATGATTATTGAATATTTATTTGGGCAGCGCTTTT